TGGCTGGGGCTGCATCGGATGATTCCTCGCAATGCCAAGCGGGACACTTTTCCAAATTGACAACGCTGACAATGCAGCAAAGTTTCATCGATGCCGATTCCTTTTACTGCTTTGCCGACCAATAAAATGAAAATCTCCATGAGCAAAGCCAAAGCGGATGTTTTCCAAAGTCTTCTTTTGATCTGGGGTCAAAACAGGCCGAGTCGGCCTCCACGGAGGAGCGGATGACAAAGGGGCAAAGATTCCCCCCTGAGAGGCTGCTGGCGGTGAGCTTGCGTTTTCGAACCCTTTTTTTTTGGTTGTTTTTTTTCAAACTTTGTCTCAGGTCAAAGCAGGCATGAAAACAGTCAGTTGTGCTTTGGGGGTCTTGAAAAATATTTCTCATTTGAATCGGGAGGCAAAGACGCCATGTTTGTCGTTTGCCTTTTTGACTTGTGTGGCAAACAATGCCTTGTTGTTGTTGTTGTTGTTCCTGCTGCCGTGTTGTCACTCGCTTGTTGTGACGTGTTGTCTTCAACTTGTGCGTTTTACGCTCCGCCCCGCAAAACATGGCCGCCTTCTTTTGTTCCCGACGACGCTGCACTTCAGCTCGCTCGCACGACCAATTATTTCACGCGCGCACACAAACACCTACACAATTATGTGCGTGGACTTTGATGGCGGTCGACAATAACTATTACATGTCAAGAGCAGTGTGTGTGTGTGTGTGTGTGTGCAGAGTGACGTTTTCTTTCTTTGGGACTCATTAAAGTTGTCGCCAAATGATGACAAAATCCAATTTGTATCAGTTGAGCAACTGTCCAATTTTGTGTTGGCCAACGCGTTGAAAAATCCACTTGAATCTGATAGAACAAACAAAAATAATAAGTTGAGTCTCCGGGTAGTTTTCCTCAGGTGGCTCGCAGCCCATCTGGATGCACCTGTTGTGCGGGTGTGTGTCTACTGTATTAACAAGTCGCCACATGTTTCCCGCAGCAAGGCGAAAGACGATTCCAGAAGGACAAATCAGCCGTTCCGCTGAGGGACTTGTTGTTTTCCTCACAAAACTTCTCGGCTAAGCTAATTGATGTCATGTATTGAAAATCTGGTCTACTTTCGATACATTTTATGATGCATCTCTCTCTCTCTCTGGCGGCGGCGGCCGGTGGTCGACTGGTTAGCGTTCGACTGCTTAGCGCTTGACCGGTTAGCGCTCGAGGGGGCAATAAAGCTTAAGAAAGATTCTGTCCACTCACTGTTGACAATTTTGTCAAAAGTCATGTTCGTGTCAAAGGTGATGATTGTAAATGTTGATGGTTCATGTTCGGAATGTCTTTTTGGCATTCTCACGGTTTTCCATCCGATCGCGGACCTCAGTACGAGAGGCGTTGTTCTTGACCGCAGTCGATCCGGATGGAATCGAACGTACGGCGGCGCGGGCCGACAGCGCGGCCGTTACCACGGCGACACGGTCTTGACCGCAGTCGATCCGGATGGAATCGAACGTATGGCGGCGCGGACCGTTATCACCCCCTCCATCCAACGCAGTCATTTTTTTGGGGACGAAAGGTTCTTCGAACGTTATAAGAACGCAGCACAAAGCAAAAGTCTCCAAAAATAAATCCACTTAGGCGCCTGCCGCCTTAATTGCTCTCGCTGTGTGTTAGCTTCATTAGCATGCACGCATACCCGCAATATGGCAACATTTGCCCCTGAGAGAGAGAGAGAGTGTGTGTGTGTGTGTGTGTGTGTGTGTGTGTGTGTGTGTGTGTGTGTGCGCACAGGTGACACACTGACACATGCGCACACACACGGGCATGTTCGACACAGGTGAACACGTTTACGCTTGATTATTAAGTCTAACGAGGCTTCATGCGTTGCCGCCTCTGGGAGTTTGCTCCTCACAGGACCAGGAAACAATTACAGCCCTGCGCCTGCACGCGCGTGCCTGAGACGTCGTCGCTATCTGGACCGCTTTGAGTGTGTGCGCGCTGAACCTATAAGTCGATGGAAAGTGTGTGTGATTTTGTGTGTGTGTGTGTGTTTGCTTGTGTACTTTTTTTGCGCTGCTGGTTACCATGGCAACCAGCGGGCATTACTCATTGATGTGATGTTCATAAAACATCTTTACTTGGGAGAATGTCCATGAGGTTATCATTTTTCCATTTTTTTCTTCTTTTGTTCAAATCCAGCTCTGACACTTGTACGCGCACACACACACACACACACACACACACACGCACAAGCATGAAGAACCAATGCTCACACAATCACTTCACACACATGCTGTTAAATCAGGGTACGTGCAAAAAAAACCTCGCACATACACACTAGCATGTACAACAAACATGCACAACAAACGTGTACACACACACACGCACACACAAACACACACACGCATGCACAGAAATCCCCTGCAAATACACGTACGCACATGCACATTGAAACCCAATACACACACACACACACACACACACACACACACACACACAGCACTGCAGCACCTGCGCTAATGAAGTTGCAGCACATCATCTGTCATGAGTCTGTCAATCAAAAGCTTTGCTAATGGACCTCTAGACTCTCAACACGCGCAGGCGCGTGCGCACAAACACACACGCACACACGCACACACACACACAGCGGCAGCTGTACCTTCTCATTGAGAGACGCGGGGGTGTTCAATCATCCCACACGCACTCAAGGAGACAAGATGGCGTTTGAGTGCGAGAGACAACATAGCGGAAAGCCATCAAGCAAGGGATCGTCCGGAGACGCTACATTAGCACGGCGCTCGCTGCTAACGCTTCGCGGTGGCAAATTGGAATTGTCTGCCGCGTCCCTTCCCGCACGGTGCCCGCGTACTGCCACGCTACATGGTAACGTGGCTCGCGCCACTCGTGAGGAAATAAAATATCAAATAGCAATTTTGTCGACTGGTCAAACAAGGGCAACAATTGTTTTGTTTAGTACGCCCCCCGCTGGCCAACTGTGGCCGCAGCGCTTCGAGGTGCTTGCAAGGGTCCGAGGTCAAAAGTAAGATGGCCGCCTCGAGTCAGGCGTGTGTGGAAAGCAGGCCCCCCCCGCCCCCGTTTCATCCGGAGGCTCAGAAGATGAGCAGCGTTTTGAAAGGGCCACACCCCCATCAGGCGAGCAGAAGGCGCTGACCCCTGACCTCCTCACCTTGAAAACAAGCGCTGAATCCATCTTTCTAACGGAAGCCCCGCACAGACCTCCGCCAAAGCTTCGTGACGTTGAAACTTTGGAATTTGGGGGACAAGTGGCACGACGGGTAGCGTGACGTGATTGTGAGCATTTTCACACGTGCCGCAATTAAACATGTTTCGCATGCGTGCGCGCGCACGCACACAGTTAGCAGCATTGCTTTTGTTGTTTTGGTGCGTCTGTCAACTTGCGCGGCCTCTTCACTTCCTCTCGCGAGGTCGCACGAGTCTGAAACTCACAAGCACAACAACAACACAAAACTTCCAAACATGAGGACTTTGTTGGGTCTCGATTTTCACATCCGAGTAACGCCTCTCTCTCTTTCTCTCTCCTCTGCGATGCCGTCTGTGCGCCTCGCCAGGGTCGGACTTACTGCGCAGCGCACACACAGAGTGACAGATTTGACACCCTTCACCCCTCCCTTCTCCACGGGTGCGATTCCTATCACTGCTGCGCGAGTGTGTGTGTGTGTCTGTGTGTGTGTGTGCGTAAAAGTGCTAAAAAGGCGACGCACTAACTCAACTTGTTGTGCAAATGTTGGTAAGCAAAGTTTGCCAACGCTGCTCGCAAGTTGACGCACGGGAGCGACAGGAAGTCCCAAACGTTTTTGAAACTCCGCCCCCCCCCCCCCCCCCCATGTATCTGATTGAATCTTATTTGCTGTATTGCGCTTGGAGAGTGATTTCAAGTGACGTCAGGCCCATTTCTTTGTCATCGTTGGGTACGTTGTTGGCGAGAGAGCCAACGAGCTCATTGATCTGCTTCTTTTAGGTTTTGTCAATCGGTTAGTGACTTAGTGGTTCCAAAGTGTCTGAGTTCCTTAGTTAGCGTTTGTTTATCTTTACTTGTCATGAGTCCGTTCATTTGTTAGCTTGTTAGTTTCTTTGTTGACCTCCTAAGTTACAAAGCGAGTTCTTTCGTCAATGTTTTACTTTTAGTTTTTGGGCGTCACTTGTTTCGCGAGCTTCTTTAGCCTCGTCATAGTCAGACGCTGAGCTCATTCTTTCAGAAGCGACTCTGTTTGTCCAGTCGTCAATGTGTTCCGTTTTTACTTTTGTCCCGAGTACAGTAAGTTAGTCGGCCGGTTGTTTGGTGAGCCCGGTTTATCAGTCGCCAAGTTCCTTCGCCGATGCTCAAAAGATCCTTTTCGACACGTCTTGTATTTTGGTCAAAATACAGCAGAAGGATTGTCACGAAAATATTTGGGCATTGTCGTCGCGGGCCGATTTGCGCTTCGCATTTCCCACGGAGGGCCGCCCTGGCTGAAAACGTATGAAGAAGTCATACGCAAGGCACATTACGTCTCTCTCTTATGGATTACAAATGAGAAATTCAAATTCCGGTCGAGATGTGAGCACAAGCATCATGTTTGATTTGCTTTTGGAGGCCACAAAAAAAAAAAACGAGGCGGCGGGCCAGATCTGGTCCCCGGGCCTCGAGTTGGACACCCCCCTTGGGGGGGGAAATGCTTCGTCCAGCCACCTTCATCAATTCAAATGAGAAAAAGGGCATTCGTTCTCCTGCTGACGCCGTCGTTTCATTTTGGACGACTCTTTTGGATGCAACCGTCGCCGAGCTAGCATTAGCCTCTGTTGCTAAGCCCGCGCTGTCCCTCTTGTGATTGGCTGCTCCTCTCCGTCACATGATCACCTTGCTCCAATGGGAGCTCGCTCGCGCGTGCGCTCGCAGGCTGCCGCGTCTCCACGACAACCTTGAGAACTTTGCGGTGTTGTTTTCAGCCAACTTGTGCGCGCTTTCGACGCACAAGCGTGTCACATGATGGTGATGAAGACAAGGAGGATGACTCTCGCTCTTCCTCCTCCTCCTCCTCCTCCTCTTTTCCCTCCACAGTAGCACCAGAGAGTCCGGTGGAGTGCCTCTCGCTCCAATCCCTCTTCCTGCTTTTTTTTTTTTTTTTTTTGCTCCTTTTGGGAACTTCTGACGTCCGATCCTCTACTCCTCCTCCTGCTCTTTGCTCTTCCTCCTTCTCAGCCGTCGGCCGTCCGGGTCCGGATCTTTCCTCTCCATTGCTGGCATGAGCGCGCCTCCGCTCATTCGCACTCCGAGCCCGCTCTCCTTCCCTGGGGGGCAGCCCGGGGGAGGAGAAAGAGGAGCAGCAGGCGGCGGCGGCGGAGGCGACGGCGGCGGCGGCGGCGTGGTGTCCTTCCACATCCAGATCGGTCTGAGCCGAGAGCCGGTCCTGCTGGACTTGGCGGATGCGAGTCTGGCTCAGGTGCGCGAGGTGGCCTGCTCCATCGTGGACCAGAAGGTAGGACGGACGGCGAGCGTCACGAGAATCATCGCAATCAACATCATACTCATCGTCGTGGGCATATTGTACCGAGCCGCATGCTAATTAAGGCCGAGCGGGATGGCGACATTCGCGCGGAGCAACTTTTCAACCAATCGCGCAACAGATGCGATTAGAGATTCAAAACAGCGCAGCGGGGATGCAAATCAGCCAATCAGGGCATCGACGCCATTGCACATTTCAAGGGGGCTAGCATGGATGCTAACAAATGGTTGACGGAAGGGCGGCGTCGTCGGCGAGATGCTTTTCAATCGGTCGCAGAGCGGTTGCTCGTCGACCTTTCGAGTGAGCGAGCGTAGATGTCAACAAACGTGTGGCAAGATTCCCGCCAAAGTGCTGTCGTTGTCGTGGCAATCGGTGTCGGCAAATTGATTCGTTCCCCTTCGAATGTCAACAAAGCACAAAGCAAACAGGTTTTGCCGCCGCGTGTGCGCCACAGGGGGGAAATTCAATGCGGGTCATGCAGAGATCATGTGGAATGCTGCAGGCTAACCGCGCTAACCCTCGCTAACGTTTGAACCCCGCCACCGCTTGGTCACGTGACATCAGTCGGGCTCACAGGACCGCGCTAACTTCAGAGAGCAGGAAGCGCTCTCATTGAAATCGGCGCTACTTTCTGGATGGCAACGTGTCGGCGGCCATCTTGGTTGTCACGTTACTGGCGTCAGGTCACTTCCTCCCCACACAAGAAGTCTCGCAGGGTCACATAGACTTTGCTGTGTGTGTGTGTGAGTGTGTGTACACGTACTGCTATGAAACAGACACACAGACGCGTACAAATTGATGTGTCCTTTAACTTGCTCTAATTGTCACACTTTAGGCGACACTTTTGCACCTGAACTGATAGCGACGATGCTAACAGTGCTCGGCAGTGCGTGGGCGCACGCATGCACACACACACACACACACATGCGCAACGCTGCCTGCAAAAACAGCAGGTGACCTCAACACCTGCATGACAGCATGCCACACTTAACACATTCACACAAATGAACTGATTAATGTGCGCGGGCGTTTGTGTGACTGCTCGTGAAGGAAGTTTGATAAAAATGAACAACCCTCCCGACTGCGTGAGAAAAACCGAGCAATGACAAACGGAGCACATCGGAGTCATGTGATCAAATTCCTCTAGCGCAATGCTAACAGATAATGGGGAATGCTATAGACAGGCTAACAGAAATTAGCATGACTTTGGTTCTTTTATGAAAAAAAAAAATCTCGATATTACTTATTGATTGATTTATTTCGAATTCAACTTCCATTTTTTCGAGCCTCATTTTCTGCTCCGGAAAGTCTGACAAAAAAACGAAGTCGAACAAAATCCAAAGACGCAGCATCCCGCCAAAAATCGCGCCTTCAATGGAAAAGTCGAAGAAAAGTTCCAGCACACTTCCTTTGGCCCGAGGGGGACTTATTTGGCGGTGGCGCTCACGCGTTTTGTGGTTTGTCGGTTGAGTTTTGACAGGGTGTCTTACACAGAGCTGTCTGCGGAACCCTTCCTCCAACTTCTAAAACGCTTTGGGGGGGAAACGCGCATCCCGGCAGGGAAACGAAGGTCCAAGCGGAGCGGAAATGCGCGTACGCTCCTCTCCTATGACACAGCGGCGATCAGAAAGTCGTTTGTGTCACTTGAGCTTTTTTTCCTCCTGTTGCCCAGCAACTGAAGATGATGATGGTGATGATTGCGCCTGTGAAGTGTCCTCCCGCCATGATGGCTTTTATACGCGCACGCACGCACGCACGCACGCACAGCGCAGCGCCGTACAAAGTGTCCGTCTCCTCCGCACTGGATTTGGAGGCGACGACTTTTTGCGCTGTACGTACGCGCTTTGCACGGAATGACGACTTTGCGGGCCGCTACCCATCGTGCCTCGCGCGCTCGTACGCGTGTGCGCGCGCGCGCGTGCGTCTTTTGGCCTGCGTTTGTGCGTGCGCGCGGCAAAAGAGGGGCGAAGGGGAAGCGGCCTCGAGTGGCGGCGGCTGCCGCTGCCATGCCAACCGAGTGGCGTTACCGTGGCGACGAGCATCAGGAGGACGAGAGGAGCGCAGATAAAGGAAGCGAAGGGGTGAAGGTCTGATGAAGGGCGGCGCAGCCTCCTCTTCCTCCCGCTTCCTCTTCCCCTTCGCCTCGTTTGTCGGCACGATGAAGTGAATGGCGTCATCGCCCGGCGCCGCTCCTCTCTTCACCGCTCCGTCACGTTGCCCGAATGATTTGGTTGCTTCGGCGGTCAGGTGACACGAAAGGCCTTGAAGTTGGATTGTCCAATTGAAACAGAGCACAGCACATCAACAACGATTCACTTCGACCTCGAACGAGAAAAACATCATCGTTTTGCTCACGTCGCAAATGACGGAGATGTCCGTTTTGAAAACTCTTTCCGGCGCAGGACGCCCACCGAACGTGCCTTTGGTATCGTCGCGCAACGGGGCAAAGTGACCCGAACTCTCGGGCACGGGTGCGCCGTCCTTCATTTTACCATCGGGCCTCAGACCCAGAGCGAAGGTGATCGGTCGCCGGGCCGGCGCCTACGGCCGGCGGCTAACTCGGTCGCTAGCTGAAGCTAAGCTAACGGCAGCTTCCGCGTCCGTCCGCCTTCAGATTCCCGAGTGCGGCTTTTACGGCATGTACGACAAGATCCTGCTGTTCCGCCACGACTCGGCGTCGGACAACGTTCTGCAGCGGCTGCGCTCGGCCTCGCAGATTCAAGACGGGGATCTGGTCGAAGCCGTGCTCTCGGGTAGGGTGACCTTTCTTCTTCTTCTTCTTGCGTCTCACTATCTGTGACTCTGACTGCGCGTCAAATTAAGAGGCGGAGCTTGGCCAGGTAAGTGACGTGGGTGTCGGCCGCAAGGCTCGGAGGCGAAGATTTTTTTAAAGCAAATGATTCCAGTTCATGCAATAATCATGGCAGGAAATACGACCCCCCCCCCCACCACTCCATCATCCGGGTGTGCGTGCGTGGGCGCCTATGGGAACGGGGGGGCTCCTTGAAAAGTACATCTTGGGTCAGAAAAGGTTGGCCACCCTTGCTTGCTTTTTTTGTGTGTGTGTGTGTGTGTTCAGCTTCGGCCACGGCGGAAGACTTCCAGATTCGGCCGCATTGCCTGTTCGTGCATTCGTATCGAGCGCCCGCCTTTTGCGACCACTGCGGCGAGATGCTGTGGGGCTTGGTGCGCCAGGGCCTCAAGTGTGAAGGTAATGTTTTCTGTCGGCAGAAAAAGCAGGATTCAAGTGGAGTTGATTATTCCAATCATCTGAACATGAAAGACTTTATTTAGAATTTAGTGTCAAGCAAAACAGGTTGACCCCATCAAGTGGTGTCCAAGACCAAAACCATTTTTTTTTTTTGAGGCTGCGGTCTGAACTACCACAAGCGCTGCGCCTTCAAGATCCCCAACAATTGCAGCGGCGTGAGGAAACGCCGTCCGTCCAACGCGTCCCTGACGGGGTGGCCGCTCAACCTGGGGGGCCGCCCCTTGTCCGCCGAGCCCTCGCCGCCGCCACATTACGCCGACGAGGCCCTGCTGGTCAGCGCCGTCGCACGCGCGCGCGTGCGCAATCCGGTCACGCTCGCGGGCGCGCGCCGCTTCACTTCCTGTTTCCGCTCTTGTCTTACAGTCCCCCGTCAGTCCCAGCATGGAGGTGAGGTCCACCGAGTCGGGTTTCAAACAAGGGTCGAGGCTTCAACTCGCATTGGCTTCGCTTTGGGGTTGAAATGAATGTTGCACATCTGGTTTCGATTTGCAAATGAGGGTTTCAAACCAATGTTAGGCTTGCGATCAAGGGTTCCGAGCTCAAATGGGGGCCTTAACCGCGGCTTGGGCCTTCAGATGAGGGTTCGGAGGCGGGGTTGGAAATTCGCCAGGTTTCAAGCCCGGGGCACGCGGAGGGATGGAAAGAAGGCGCTTCCCAACGGCACCGCAATCGCCCACCCCTGGTTGACACCCACGACTTGGGTCTCAAATCGGGGTTTTCAATTTGGGGATGAGTTTTGCGGACCCCGCCCGGGATAGCGCGAGGGCTTCCGAATTGGGCTTCGAAGGCCGCCTCGGGGTTTTCCAAACGAGAACGAGGGAGGCGACGGCTTCGAAGCTCGTCTCGGCTTTTGGCAGAAGTGGTCGCCGCCGTC